GTGAGTGAGTGAGTGAGTGAGTGAGTGAGTGAGTGAGTGAGTGAGTGAGTGAGTGAGTGAGTGAGTGAGTGAGTGAGTGAGTGAGTGAGTGAGTGAGTGAGTGAGTGAGTGAGTGAGTGTGTGTGAGTGTGAGTGTGAGTGTGTTTGTGTGAGTGTGTTTGTGTGAGTGTGTGTGTGTGTGAGTGAGAGTGAGTGTGAGTGTGTGTGAGTGTGAGAGAGTGAGTGTGTGTTGAATTTTTGAATCTCTTGAGGATCCTTGAAATTCCAATCAGGATCAAAAGAGGAAGTAAATGTGTTACAGACATTTACAGCATTAAAAAACATAAAATATCAGTTACTGATTTGTGTGGATTCTGTTGGAATCAAAATTACTGAATGCATTAAAATATGAATTCATTCTATATACAGTAATTATTATAAATGAGTTAATTATTGTATAAATTAAATATAATTATTAAAGTTTATTTGCCATTTAGCATCTCATGTAAATATACAGTATCTTGATTTAGGAGTGTTTATATAAATGTTGCAAATTATTATTTTGATTTTTTTGACATTCTTAAATCAACAAAAACAAAACTTGTTTTCTGAGAAATGTATGAAAATTAATTGAGGTTTATACTTAAAACGAGAAAAATATAATAAAATAGAAAAATATTATTGTTTTCCCTTTAAATTACGTTTATTTTCCCGACCCCATTGGCAGATACTTTTGTCTAAGCATAAACTCACTTAATTTTGGTAAATTTCTAAGAAAACAAGACTTCTTATCTTATGTTTTTGCATCTCAAGAAAATGATTGTCTTAACTTGTCACAACACTTTCCCACATGTATGTGAAGCTGAGTGTGTGTGATTGTGTTTCAGGTGTGTATTCTGCGAGTTACGGCTCTGATCTAGCGAACTGTAACGTGACCGTGTGGAATCCTCTCGGGAACGGACTGTCCTATGAAGACTTCGCTTTCCCTGTGTTTGCTCTGAAAGACGAGAATCAGACTCAGGTCATCCGTAAGGTGTGTGTGTCTCTCTCAGGTGTGTGTGTGTTCATCACAGTGCTGTATGACACGCGTGTGTGTGTGTGTGTGTTTGCAGTGTTACGAGGATCATAACCTGCGTGTGAACGGAAGCGCTCCTCAGTATCCGCTGTGTGCCATGCAGCTCTTCTCACACATGCATGCTGTGACCGACACTGTGACCTGCATGAGACGCACCGACCTGCAGAACCGATTCAGCATCAACCCAGGTACACACACACACACACACACTCTGTCTTTCTCTCTCTCTCTCTCTCTCTCT